AGAAATTAGTTTACTTTAAGATTGAATTGAAACTTTTGTTTGAGTCTCCTGCTTCTCAAACTTGTCTCCTGAGACAAAAACTCTTAACAATCTCACAATGTTCTCCTTTAAAGGGTTGGTCTCATATTTGTCTCCAATGTTTCAAACAATCTCAACATCACACACTGTGCTCAGATTTTTCTCCTAATCTAAAGACTCGGTTGGTCTCATATTTGTCTCCAATGTTTCAAACAATCTCAACATCACACACTGTGCTCAGATTTTTCTCCTACACTAAAGACTCGGGAGCTCTCACATTTGTCTCCTCTAAATTTCAGAAGTGATCTCAATAACTTTACAAAGTGTGCACCAAGTCAAATGCCTCAATATGAGCTCAAACATGTCTACCATATATGTATTAATCAAATTAGTCAATTAATAATCAAGACTGAGTCATAAGCTCCAGGGTTACATTTTCTGTAAATCAGTTTTGATTAAGGAATACGGTACATTACTATTTTCAACAACAAATTGTGTGCCTAAGTACATAAACTGTCCTATAAAAAGTGACATTATCCTTATTTCTGCATAATTTCTCTCTCAATATAGCCTTTAACTCTGAATTTATGATTTTTCCCTCTTTATTTAGTGCCTTTCAAGTACTGCACTTGATGCACACTTTGTAAAGTTGTTGAGATCTCTTCTAAAGCTTTACAGGAGACAAATATGAGACCCACAGATTATTTAGCTAAAGAGAAAAATCTAAGCACAGTATGTGATGTTGTTGAGATCTCTAATCTAAATTTTTGAGGAGTTTCAGATCCAGAGTCTCTAGCTAAGGAGAAATATCTGAGCACAGTGTGTGATGTTGTTGAGATCTCTTCTAAAACTTTAAAGGTGACAAATATGAGACCACCAGAGTCTTTAGACTAGGAGAAATATCTGAGCACAATGTGTGATGCTGTTGAGATCTCTTTTAAAGCTTTAAAGGTGACAAATATGAGACCACCAGAGTCTGTAGACTATGAGAAATATCTGAGCACAGTGTGTGATGTTGTTGAGATCTCTTCTAAAACTTTAAAGGAGACCATTGTGAGAGTGTTAGAGTTTTTGTCTCAGGAGACAAGTTTGAGAAGCACGAGACTCAAGAAAAAAGCTCAATTCAATCTTAAAGTAAACTAATTTCTGTCTAGGAGAAATATTTGAGATGTTAAAGAGATCTCACTTTTGATTTTTCTTTCCTATGGGTATAAACAGTAGTATATTTTAAACTCATTTACAAAACTGCATTTACATTCTTAACAGAAACTTAAGTAGAACCTGGTACGCATAACACAAAATTACTTTCAAATGTATTGTTATTGTATGTAATTCAATACAGTGCTCCATACTATTTTAACATCCTTCAAACACATAATTTCTATATCATGTATAAATTGCTATTTTAAATGTCTGGTTATGTCCAGCAATAATACTTAAAGGTTTGTATTTTTCTATATTGCCTCCAGCCTTTTTATTACCAACAGTAACTAAGCCTTGCCATAAAGACACAAGAACTTTGTGCTTTCGCTTTCTTGGCAGAATTTAAAAGAGAAAAATTTGTTAAAATCATCATTAAGCGCGTCATTCTGGACGATGGACACAATGTGACATTCTGTCTGTGTAAATATGGTTTAATAAATGAATTAACTCCATAAATAATGGCTGTAATGACATTTTAGGGAACAATAAGTCTGAGCATTGTCAGGAAATAGTTGATGTATGAGTTTCATGCCTCAGCGGTTCCTCAAAATGAATCGGCACAGGAAGATAGCTAGGGCCTTGCAACTAGCCCATTTCCCAGAATTATCTACTTGTTGTCAATTTGCACAGTGGAATTACACATGCAAATTGCACTGCCTGCACAAACACCACTTGGAGATGATAAAAACAAATTAACAAAGGCTATAGAAGAAGGATTTATTTCACTGGCTCACCCAGGTCAAGCAATACATGTATTTGACGATTGTGTGTACCCAATTTTGATGTAATTATATCTGCAAATTATTATTTGTAATCTTTTTTTCTTTTTTTTTCGTTCAACCTTCTTCTTAAACTCATAATTAGCTTCCCTCGCTTCTCTCTCAAAAACAATTCAGCTGGCTGTCCTGTCAGGCTAACAGTGAATAATCTCATCTGGCTGTCACCCTTCTCTTCCTTTTCCCTTGTGCTGCAGCATCGTCCGTTATTTTTAACACTGGCTTGAACACTGTACACATGGAGGCTAAAAGTCAAGGGTCATTAAATACGAGAGCACACCATCGGGCCAAATGCACAGGAAAACAGGCATATAGCTGGTCCAGAAGTCAAGCTATACATAATCACCTGCTTAACATGGTTTCTCATATTCGGAGCTAAATGAGGAATCCCTGGACCTCCGTGTTGGCTAGTATTAGATATTTCATTTACTTTGTACACACACAGCTAATCTGCTCTAATGAATTCTGCCACCCCAAGCCAGATCCAGATGACTTAAAATTATTATTACTCTTTCCTCAGACATGTGCTTGCTCATTTGAGGTTCAACTTGGCTGGCTTGGGGAAAAAACAGCCTGTCACAGTAAGATACTAATAATTAAGGCTTTGAGATGATTAGTTTATCTCACCACACTTACCACCTCTTTTCCGCTTTAACCAAAACTAATAAGGGTTTCCAATTTTTAAACAACAAACTCTAAATATATAATAAATGACAGAAATAATGATCTGGAGCCCAAACCGAACAAAAGCGCCAGTGTAAGAGAAGCATGAAAAAAAAAGAGTAATCATAATAATTTTGACACTAGTAACTCAGTGATATATTACACCACCAAATTACCTTTAAAAGTTCTAGTTGCCTTTGACATTGAGTTGTCACTTATATAATTAATTGGTATTAACTGTGGGGCGGGTAGTATCAGTTTGCAATGGAGAGGATATGGGCTATGTAGAGTGACGTTTAATATAGCTTGCTGACTTAAGCTCTATCGTGTCATATTAACTTAAAGTTCTTGATGTTGGATGGAATTTATGTTTTTAAGGACATGCAGTAACCAACAAATACAACATATATTAACCCTGTAAAGCCTACAGTATCATATCTGATTCATGAATTTCTTAGACCTCTAAATTATCAAAATGATGAAAACTTTGCTGGAAAAAAAACATTGCAAACAATCTACATGTCTTCTGACATTTGATTGATAGTGTATACTTCTTTAGCAAGTAAAAGACGTTTTAGTATAATTCTAAAAATGACCACCCTTAGGTCATGGTACATTACTTTTTGCTGTGAAATGTTTATTGAACATTTACTGGACTAAAGCGATTTAGGTTTACTTAATTATCCATAAATCATCATTTCATTTTTAGAAAAATCATGTTAAAAGGTATAAAAATATGATACAACAGCCTTTTGAAGTTTATTTTTCCATCTCTCAGTCATCATTGTATTGCATATGTTTTGCACATCACAATTAAAACAGGAGAGTGTTAATCATAAAACTAAGTATCTAAATTTAATCAACATATTTTTGGGAGATAGAGTGACAACTAATATTGAATGCATATTTTTATGAAAGTAGTCTGCTAAACTGTTATAAATATCTTATTGATTTATATTACAAACAATCAGAATTTCATCTTGGCCTTATAATCTGCACCATATTTTTGCTCAGTTTGGGCCTCTATGGAAATTGAGGTGTTTCCCCCCCTATATAATTCACCATATAAGTACACAGGCATAAAAGGTCAATACATACTTAAAGAAGGTCAAGGTTATCATAAACTCAACTTAAGGGTCAGTGAGCACAAATGAGGAGCATTCCTCATTCACTACAGGTTACAGAACATACATGTAGAGACAAAGACAGAAAGTGTGGAAGGGACAAAGAGAGAGAGAGAGAGAGAGAGAGAGAGAGAAGGAGAGTAAATGAGAAAGAGCAAGAGAGATAAATTGCTGGGCACATTCAAAACTAGTGGCATCCCCGCTGGAGGCATAACAAGCAGAAATTATATTGATGAAAATTTCTGAAATTATGACAATACAAATTAGCTTGTTGCCTCAGAATCTGTGCACACTAAACAAATCATAAAAGTAAATAGGTGGTTTTGCAATTAGGCACAAAGCCCACTATTTAGCAACAAAACAGAAAACTGATGTTATTTGATATAAATAAGCAATTTAAGCATCAGTGTTTTTCGTCTGCCAATGCCACAGGCTAAACAAGATTAGCATGCTAATCATTTGAATGATAATGTGGTGATGCCCTCAGCTGTCTGAATAAATTGGGAGACGTTGCTCATATAAGAGCATTCTTATCACTCTGGAAAACATGAGCAATTGTGTTTTAGTTTGCCATTTGTAAAAAAGAAAAAAAAAAGAATATATATATATATATATATATATATATATGGCATACAAATATGTTTGAATAAGTTTACTCATTCCTACCTTAAAATGTGCTGCTATTGCATAAAGAGTTGGCCTACATTATTTGTTGTTATTTTTGGTTAAAGTGCCTGATTCAGGACAATAGAAGCATATTTATCTTTTCACAAATGAAAAAAAGTGTGTGGGCATACAGTCAGTTTTGGTTGTTAGGTTGTAACCAATTTATCACCAGAAATAACAAACCAAACATTATAGAGGAATAAATGTTAAACATAGACCAGTACTTCATATAATATATAATCTTCATATTTAATTGAGTTTTAAATTATAATTTGGCAAAAGACCGTGGTTAAAAATCACATTTATCCACCCACCATTTGTCTATTTAGATTAGATTTCAAATATATTATTATTATTATTATTATTATTATTATTCAGTTTTTATTATTATTATTAGTAGTATTCAGAGCTGGACAAATTGACGAATTGAACAGAAATATTAGCCGTGAACTATTATTCATTACACAGAACAGCAGCCGCCACTATTTTGTGAAGTGGAGGATCACGTTTCATAATGAGATCAAAGTGACCAATCAGCGTTTCTGTTACAGCTGTTGCTCCTCCGCCGACCCAATAATGAAGCTCTATGTTCAAAATGCGGAAATACAGAAGGCAAAGGTAAGCGTCATGCTGTTGTTGTTGTAGTGCTTTGATGTTTTATGATATTGTTAAGTTAATCATCTGTCGCATTTTATAACATAATCAGCGCCGTTTTTTTGTTTTTTTGGCAGAGGATAATGCGGACGTTTACAAGAGTCACGTTTTTGATGTTTTGCCAAATGTAATATGTACAGTGGACTCTTGCCGCCGGGTCTCACTGAATCTGACCTGAGCTCTGATGATGCTGATGAAGGGGAAGCAGCAGAAAACAGACGAGGCGAGCAGCTCTCACGTCAGTCAGACACGGAGCCACATTCAGCGTGTGCACAGGTTGAATGTAATAACACAAAAACTGGTTTGCACAGTGATGCATTTGGGGATGATTGTCTTCCTGGAGTTTCCTTGGATAAGTGGCAAGTACGTGGTTCTACTGTAGTTATGCATGTATGCAGTATTGAGAAAGAGTGCAGATCTTGCAGTGATCAAATTATGTATTATTGATCTAATTGGGCAGTAGACAGTTAAAATCACTACAGTATAAACAAAGCAAGTTGCAGTTGGTTTATTCAGAATTTATTTTAATATCATTGTTTAAAAGCATTGCTTTTGTTATTGTTGCAGAAGTTCAAAGAGCTCCAGAAAGCAAAAGATGATCAGAGAATGAAGGAACCGCAAACAAAGCGGAAAAGGCGCCACAAGAAAGGTCATTATAACAAGTTTTCTTCTCATTACCTACCCATGCTCTTCTACTATATTATTTCTACTGATGTTAACAGTATCCTATTTATTAATTTTCATGCAAACATCATTCATGCAGCTTTGTTGATTTGTGTTTGAAAGGAATTTCTCTTGCAGTCACAATGCCAGGCACTTTGTTTTGGTTGTTGGGGTTAAACATGGGTGTCCAGTAGGATTTACTACAGTAGAACTAATATAATCCACAGGCATCATTGTTTGAGGAGATGAATAACACAATTTCACTCTTTCTCATTTGCCGAAATGCTTGTACATAACTTTTTTTATACGCAATGTATTAACATATTTTGTTTTTAAACAGGCAGGACACAGAATTGCGGCACTGAGCAGAAAAGGTATGATGGACAGTTATGGTTTGCTCCAAGACAATTAATGATGATTTCCATAATAGATCATTCCATCAATACATCAGTACATTAGTCAGCAGGTCACAAGAAAGACTATGAGAGATGTTGTGTAAACAACTTGAAGCTGAAACACATGTTCTTAGGCCTTACACACTTTTGAATTAGTTTTTCGGTGGTGAGGTGAATATGTACTGAATAACTCATATTAATATCAGGGCATTAAACTCTCCTCACATTTTAGTCTGAAGTGTATATGATGATTTTAAATTCAAATATACTTCTGAAATGATTTATTTGTTCATTGACTGATGTTAGAAATATTGCATTTCCTCTTATCTAAAGTAAATGTGTTATGATGCGACTTAAATTTGCAATCACAGATTTAAAAAAAAACAACAACAAAAAACAACAACGGTAGACTGGAATACGCTACACAGCTTTTCACATAGATTTTTGCCACAATTTACAGATTGGAATTGACAGATTTAGCTGAAAGCACGTAGTGTATGATGTGCACAGACTCATACATGTTTGGTATTTTGAGCCGATTTTAGAGCACATATTGATTTCATATGTCATGCATCTCCTAGCAACAAGGCACATGCTTCTGCGTGCGTTTGTTGTGTTTGGAACCACTTGAAAAGTCTGGTAGTGTGTGATCCATAGTTGTTTAGTGTATGGAGTTCAGATTTTTTTTTTTTTCTAACCCTTTACAAAATCGGCAGCTGCATGATGCTTAGTTTTTAAAATCTGTTCAGATCATTTCAGCCTTGAGGGCAACAAATTTTAGTACAAAATTCTTCAAATTTGAAACCTCCTGCCTATTTCACTGAACACACATATATTCACAAATACTGACTCGCTCTGTAATCCACCAGTTATAGCAAAAAGTGATGTGTGCAGAAATAATTGAATCTCACAAAGTATACATGCTAGTCCTGGAGTGAATAATAATAATTAAAAGAAAGACTTGTGATTCTGTGTCTTTGCCCAGGGAGCCTGAAGAGAAACGGGAGGAGCACTGGAAGGATCTAACGCAGTATTTTGGCATCAATGATAGACTCAAGCCGCCTCCTTGTAGCAGACCTCCTCTCATGGTAACAGTGATTTCCGCCATCTTCCTCTACCACTCTGTGGGTGTCCTAATTCCACTCATATGCTCAAAGCATTTTTATCCCACTGCCTCTCTCTGTTCTGTGCCTACTGTATGTGTAACTCGTAATTGTTTCCTCTATCAAATGTGAAAGACAGAGCGAGGAGGCATCTTTTCTTCTGCATGACACTGAGCATAACAGAATAGATCATATTATATTTAATGATGAGATTACCTTAATCTTGACATGAGGATGTAGCTGCACTGTCTGTTCTGGTTGGTGTTTAATATTTCTTATATGAGGTGGATTTCTCCATTGAAAGCCACAGCACAATGGAGTCAAGAGATCTCTGTAATGCTGTAATTCAGTGATAGGGAGGGGAATGCTTGCAAATCAAATACACTGGACAGCTTCTGTAACAAATATGACATTAAGATTTTTCCCACTCAGATGCTGAAAGGGCATCACATGTTGTAGAACAGCATAAACAATACAAACAATATTTGTCCTCTGTAAATGGGCCATTTTTTAGTATTACCCACTCTTGAACCCAGCACAGTGAAGTTTGATTATATCAGCCTCTTTGAGTTTCACATTTTGTTAAAAATGTTGCAGTAGAATCTTTGTTTGTTTCATAGCACTTCCATATTGCATATAATTACAGACAAATTCTTAATTTAATGTTAATGGGGTGATTCTTCTGTTAGTGGCACTTGAGACGACTTGAAATCTTGAAAAATTCAACTTCTCCAAACTGTATTTAAACAATTATCCCATGTTTGGATTTGGAATAAAGATCTGATCATGGCTTTGATTAACTTAATTTTGGATATTGACATGTGAGTGTAATGATATTTCCACTTTTTTTTTTTAATATTAGAGAATTTTAACATGAAAAGTTCTCAAATACTGTTTGGTTTGGTAACAAACCTACTCTCAAGTCATGATAAAACGTTTCTGATTTTCAAACATATGAACTGAAAACATGATTTGTATTTATTTAATTTTATTTATTTTTAAAGTGCAAGGTAGATTGTAAGCCATTAAACCATTAAAAAGCTACTATAATGCATTTTATTATAATATATTATTTTCTTTAAATTTATATCAGGGGAAAAGTGCCTTTAGTAGATGACTCTCCATTATGTCTTTGCTTTTAGTGTGCGCATATGGCTGCATTGTGCTGGAACATAAACAGTGATTTACTTCCTTTGTCTACATAAAAACATATTTGTAAACAGACATTTAATTAAAAAAAAATCACCATATCAGCACTGGTTTTATGTCACTGTAGCTGTTAGCAGCAATAGATGTTTGTCTGTGGTGTCTGCACAGGTTTGCTTAGATATCGTTCAGCTCAGTTTCATTTAAAGCAATAATACATCTTTTTTTGCAGTATATGATTATGACCTGTACTTTGTGAGATGACAGCAGAATATGTAAGTGAATGAGGAATGATTCAAGAAAGCTGACTTTGTACATCGGCTCATAATTTAATTTCGTCATGCAGGAAATTCATGATTACATTTTCTATAAATAAGTCTCTTTTAGTGCAAAGCTTTGTAAACAGAACTAATTTATTTGTAACTTCAAGCCAATTTTGCAGTAATGCATTACTTATCATTCAGCAGCATTAACTTAAAACAGTTTTTGTTGTTATTTTAATTAGTAAATTGTCATGTAAGCAGAATGTTGGCAAATGTAATTTGTTTTAAGTAGGAACATGCTGCTAATTCAATTGTCCATATCGTTTAATGTTGAGCTCAAATAATTTTGCATTAGCAAGTTAAAATATTGGGTTATTGAGTTAAAATATTGTTTTGATTATATATATCCAGTTGTCCTGTTAAATTAGACAGCTCTGCTGCCCCATTTTCCCTCACTTTCAAAGGCTATATCTATTTTGGATTAAACATTATTAAAGGGCTGAGCATATGCTGTGAAAATACATTTTAATAGAGTTGTGAGCAAGGCTGATTGGAACAGTCCCTCTGAAATGTTTACCCAAGCAGAATGAATATTATATGGCCCTTTCAGAAATCACAGTATGGAATATACATTAGCTCAGGAATAAATTACATCAGGAATTTCATACATGTATGTATCGTTGTTTTTTTGTTTTGTTTTTTTGGACCATAAGAGCAATAAACGCGTCTAGAATTGGTGAAATTTGTAGAAAATGAGAATGTTGTGTCTTTGTTTTGGGATTTGTCTTATGAAGATCCATAGTAGCAGACAGAGAGCTCTGCTCCACCAGTCCTGCTGCTTTGATGGAAATATCTAATTAAAGACCAACATTTATGTTTGGTAACCTCCTGTGGCTAGACAGATTTTTTGCCTAATATTTAATCAACCAACGATTTTCATTTATGAGAGGAATTCTACATATTTGTTGTAATGGCAATCATATTAAAAAGAATGCCTTGGGGAGTTTTTAAGTTACTCTTTGATTTTTTTTTTTTCTCATCCATCTCTTCTTTTTATTTGAAAATCACTTCATTTTATTTTCCTCCTTCTCATCTTCAGTCAGGCCTGGAAAAGAGCATAGAGAGTGCCATTGCTGAAGGGGACTGTGGGAAGGCGGAAGAACTGAGTGACAGACTTGCTACTCGAGAGGTATGTTGCCCAGATAAGCCATCTCGGGGGGGGGGTGCTTCAACTGTGACAAATTGAGCTAATGGGTCTGTGGCCATTTTGCCTGCAAAGACACAGAGGCTACAAACACACACACACACACACATCATTCGACTTGGGCAGAAAGTCTTGCAACCCTTTTACACTAAAGTTAATGGAAAGCCCTCCCCCAGTTTGAAGTACGGCAGTGTCTATAGAACTTTCGGTTCTGCCTTTTAATGAAGGCTACAATGGTTTCAACCCGAGCGCTAAAACATTTTCAAGGTGCCAGTTTTACACCTTTGAAGTGAGCTCATACCTAAATACAGTGCCTGCAGTTTTAAAAAGACACATTTTAGGAGTGTACGTAGGATCAAGCACTTCGAAGCTAATTTGGCAGAAAATGTAACATTCGCACAGCTGTAATTGCAGTAAAAAGACATTCAACTTTTCTGAAGTTGGGGCAATCATAGCGGGCAATATTTTTAAGCCTAGCAACTTTGATTCAATGGAATCTAAAAAGCATTCCACTAAATTCCGGCCTAAGCTTTGATTTCAGTATTACTGCATGGAATTAATGTTCACTGTCAACCTTAAACAGTTTAGTACAGAAAAGGTTTGGGAGTGTGCTTCCAGTTCACTTACATATACATTTGGTGAAGTCGAAGCATTTTTAAAGAAAACATGATTTTTTTTTTTTGCAAATATCATGTATATTTCATGATTATTTTTTTTTGCAAATATCATGTATATCACTCTGCCCCAAACTGAGTGTTTTTTTACTACAGAAGTGGTCTGACAATAGAACAATTCTGCAAATACTCTTCTTTTTTTTTATTGTATTGTGTTGTTGGGATTTTTATAGCAGGTGTCAGTCTGCACACACACAATAAACAAGCTTTGTTGCAATTTCATTATGATATATTGCACAAAGCACTAATTAATCTTTGTTATTAACTTTATATTTATGTTAAGTAAATGATTTGTAGGACTCATTCTGTAAGTCCATTTTTGTGATGATAATTTTCTTTTACGGCTTATTGCCATACTGCAGCTGAAGCTATTCCTGTTTTTAAATGTGTTTTCAGTTTCTGCAGTAATTAATTTTCTATTAAGATTAATTTTATGGTTTTATTGTTGATAAAAGGTCATGCTTCGATAAAGCTCTCCCGTCCATCTAATTGGGAGGAGCAGTGTTAATCGTGTTAACCTCAAATATTAGTTTCCTACGTAATCAATTACAGCTTCTGTTCCTCTTGGTGTAAATGTGAAAATTACACCATTTACTCCAAACTAATGAAATCATATTGTGATGCTGTTGATTATTGATGTGAATCAGTTCAAAGCAAGGTGATAATCATGCTCCTAACAAGCGTAGCGCCATGGGAACAAACATTAAATAGCTTGATAATGCTAACAACAGGCCCTTGGTTTAGGCAATTTTCTTTTGAGAGTCTTTACGCGGTAATCCATACAGATGCCACTTACGCTTATCTCTGGAGTATCTTTGTGGTTTTATCTTTTTCTTTCCCAGGTAGACGGAGACATAATAACCGTTTCTTTGGAAACCATTCTCGGAAACATTTCATCATTACATGGGCTTCATTGTGATGCCACACGTCTATATCAGCTCTCGTCTTTGTTCTTTTGTTTGGTTGAGAATGGCAGATTTAAGCATTCCTTCACAGAGCGTTTATCTAGACTTCAAAAGCAGGTAAAGAATTTCAGAGATGCCATCATGCAGTCTAAATGCTTGCAAATGACAGCACTGAAATGTTTAAGCTTAGTCCCTCTTATCAAATAACACTGCTGTTATTAGTTTGGCATGGCTTGCAGGTAAAAACACAAATACAAACTGCATGGCTTTTGTCTTTGTTTGACTTACCAGGACCATGTTGTCACAGAAAGCTTCTTACAGCATCAGTGGATTTGAACAGAGCAGTCTCGAATCTCTCGCTCAGCCAGACAGCTAAGGTCTGCCTCTGACAGAACACTGGCAGTGGCTGTGCAGTAATGCCACTGCTAGCTGCTGTATTAGTTCTCCACTAAAAACTGTAAATTACAGTTTTCGCCCGGTAATGTGCATTTGTCATCTTCTGGACATGTCCCTAATGCTCTATAGATTGATTTAGCTTCTCATGAAGATGTGGGTATGAAAGATTTTCCACCATTTATCCAAAGTTTCAGGGTAACATCATTCTAAGTTGTGCAATGATAGAACAGGAAGATCATTTCTGAAATTTGAAGGGTTTCAGATTTAGGTACATGAGTTGCACCATTTGTTATTGTAGCCATACATTATGGCTGAATGTATGTGCCACTGTAGCTACCTATATACTAATATTTAAAAGTTTAGGATTGGTAAAATGTA